TGTAAGCAACACGCGTGTACAGTAGTGCACACGTGTAGTAGCAGCGTCCGTGCCATAGTAGCAATTATGGCGCTAGTTTTTTAATTGTGTACAGTACCCGGCACGCACTAGGCGGCAGGTACTGTACTACTGTACTGGGACAGGTGTCCGAGGCGTCCCCCTGCGGGGTTAAGACCTGGCACCCGTCCCCACCAGTAAACGGGGGCAAGCTCGCCCCCGTCCCTTTTGCGCCTACGTACGTCCGTTTTCGGTTGTCTGTCGCGCGCGCTGGCTTCTAACCCGTTACCGGTCGCTCCCGTTCACGCACCACGGGGCGACTGCGCGTAACCGGCCAGTGAGCCACTCCCTTTTCGCGAGCTCGTCCGATCGGTTCAATTGGCGCGTCGCGTCCGCGCCGCGTGCTCCCTCACTGAAGCCTCCGCCTCTCACCCAACCCAGGGCGGAGAGGAGTTATCCCACACCACACACACCACTGCCACCCGATCCGCGGCATAAGACCATCCATCCCCACTGCGATAAACCCGAGCACACTAACAAACGACTATTTTCCCAAACCCCGCGCACGCGAAACAAACAAAATGAACGATCAACCCAACTCGTCACAAGGACCCCTGCCCGCCTCAACAGCGGCAACTACACCTATTGGTATGACGCCCTCGAAATTTTTGCTTGCACAATCAACGCGGCACAACAACTGACAGCCGCAGCCAGCACAAGCAACAAACAGGCAGCCGACGAGGACAACCAAAGGAAAACAGATAAAATCAGGAAAGCGATCATGCAAAGCATATCCAAAGAAGTCGTTAAAATGCTCCCACTCCACATCCTCCGATATGACACAAGTACAATATGTCACATCATACGGAACACGGTCAACACGTCCACAACAGAGAGTCACAAACTCCTCGATGCTGAGGCCAGAAACCTCACGTACGAACCAGGACAAGACCCCAGAGACTACGTCGACAAGCATCGCGAACTAAGATATCGCATGCAAGTAGCACAGTACCCGAACATGAACGCAGAACCTGCAACTGTTCGGTACATGATCCAAGGGCTTGTTAAGCACCCAGACATGGGCCAGCTATCCATGATCATGGCCGGGAACCCCGCACTAACGATCAACGCATTCACAAACCATGTCCAACAAGTGCAGATCATGCAATCTCAGATCCAGGCACAGGCCATAAGCCCAACGCAAAGCGACACAGACGAAGCACCTGACCCTCTGAACGAGTTGCAAGCCAGGCTAACAGCCCTCCAGACCCACATGCCTCACACCGGCGACACGTCTGAAGGTAAGAACAGTTACATACTAGACTCCGGTGCAAACCCTACCCATACGGCCACACCCCACGCGCGTATGAGACCCAGCACTGGGACACTAACCACTACTGCCACCGGCCACCGCGCCCCTATCACGCACAAGGGAAACATCACCATCCAACAGAAGAATAATCGAATCACGATACCGGCGGTACTCACCCCGGAGATTCAATAAAACCTTCTCTCAGTCCATGATCTGACCGCACATGGACAAGTCACGTTCTCAAGAAACAAAGCCACGCTCCACGACTCGATCAAGCTGCCAACTCCAAAAATCACAGCACGCTTCCACAACGGGCAATACCGCCTCACACCGGATGCGACAGCCAAAGGAGCGCGCACTTACCACCGTAAAAACCAATCCACAAAACCACGTCTTGCAGGACAGCAGCCCAAACCCACACCAACACCGCAGACCGCAACACGCGCCAACGACGAACTCACGCTCAACACAACGCGACACAACACGTCCAACCTGCGGAACGCCAAAGCGCCACCAACCGGAACAAGCAGACAAACTCCAGCGCAGCAACAAATGCATGAATGGCATCTCAAATTAAATCATGCCAACCCCCATACCATAGCGCTGATGTCAAAACATCAACTGCTCCCAGGCATTCCCCACGGGCTCCCCAACAAAAGCACCACAATGACATGTAGTGGATGCATCGATGGAAAAACGGCCACCAGACCCCACCGCAGGACAGAGCACAAGGCCGGCAAAGGCCAAAGCCTATCCTCAGACGTATGCGGTCCAATAAAACCCACGTCGAACCGCAACGCAAACTACTTCATCACTGTAATAGACATGCGCCACGGTGCATATGGGTATACTGCATCAACAATAGATCGCAGGTGCCCACGACAATAATCAACGCCATCGACCACGTAGCAGCATCCAACGGCCAACAACTCCACCTACTAGTCACCGACAACGCCAAGAAATACCGGGCCAAACAAGTCCAAGAGCAACTGCGTGGCAGGGGCATCACCTACTGCGCCACAACCCCTTACACCGCGCAAGAAAACGCTCTGGCAGAGCGCATAAATCGCACACTCATAGAAAACGTCAGAGCCACACTGTCACACAGCCAACTCCACGCTGTGCACTGGCAGGATGCGTTGCATTATGCAGTATTCAAATATAACATCACGTACCACCACACAATCCAAAGCATACCACATACAGAGTGGTACAACGCCAAACCCAAACTCGCAAAAGTGCTAACATTCGGACAGCTCGGATTTACACCCATCCTAAAGCCTCACCTCCCCAAACTCCACAAAAAGCGAAACAAATCAGGTATATGTATGGACTCAGTGAGACACACAAATGTGTGAAAAACATCCAGACAAGGCAATACACAAAAATCCGAGCGAGCAACTTCAAGCCATACCAACGCCATCGGGACCCATGCATGACCAGAAATGTCGTATACAGTGCACACAAGAAACTCAATCGCAAAAAGTTTGCACGACCGATCCCCACCACGATCGACCACACCACGACCGCCCTCAACACGACCCGGCAAGAAAGAAAATTCCCGGACGCTCACAAATGGAAAAGGGCACACAATGACGAGCTCGATCAACTCGACAAAATGTCCGCCATCGACTGGACCTCCACACCACCCCCCGGCGACCGAAAAAAAATTCTCCCAACAACGATGACGTACCGATACAAACACAACGTCACTCCGGACCACGTTACACGCAAAGCGAGATGTTCCATCCGCGGAGACCACATGCGTCCGCACATATACTACGACCCAGATCGGACAGCCACGTATATGGCAGATCGTACCACGATCCGATCCCTTTTTGCGATTGCAGCATCCATGAACATGGTCGTTGAGCATTTTGACATAGCAGGCGCCTACCTCCACGAAAACTATAGACACAACAAAAAGGTCTTCTTGTGGAAACCCGCACGCTTCGACGGTACATACAAACACAAACCCCGTCACGGCGAACTCAAGGGCAATGTATATGGTACACCAGCAGCATCCAAAATATACAGCACAGAACTGCATACCCACTTCAAAAACATGGGTACACGCAGCTGCGGTCGGACACATCGCTGTTCATGAAAAAGGACAGAGGATACACCATCCTCGTAGGCATCAGAATGGAAGATTTCCTACCCGTCGCAACCCACAGCACCCTGATCGACGACCTATACAACGTGCTCACAGCCAAATACAAGGTCAAACGGCTTGGACGACCCGACAAATATTTGAACTGGACCATACAGTACTCAAAAGCCGGCATACACCTCGCCGAACCGCAACATGTCGACAGTGTCGTGAAGATGCTCACAAAGACCCAATGCAACCCCAAAAGCACACCGTACCGGGATGGTGTCAAAGGCGACACACCAAACCCCACAGAAACCACACGCGAAGATATAGCGGTAATATACGGCAAAGCAGTCAGAGAAATTCGGTACATCGCCGACAGTACAAAACCAGATATCGCGTACGCAGCCACCACCCTCGCACGAGCCCTAAAGGAGCCGATGCAACGACACTGGAAACTCCTCTTGAGACTCGCACAATACCTCCACACCATGAGGACTCAAGACATACTCATGACCAGAGGCAACCGCCGCAACGTCACCATTCAAGCCTATTCAGACGCAGATTTTGCGAACGACGAAACCTCGCGCAAGTCAGTATCAGGAATGGTCACACTCCTCGATGGCTCCCCCGTTCAATGAATTGCACGTCAACAACCCATTGTTGCAAAGAGCACGTGTGAAGCCGAGTATATAGCACCGGCAGAAACAACGACGCTGACACTGTGGCTCACTAACATGCTAAAAGAAACCAACCTCAACACAAGCCAACCCACACTGTACATAGACAACACAGCGGCAGCACAGATGGCCAAAAAAGACAGGAGCCACAAGACGCCGCAAATGTATCGACATACGATATCATTTCCTCCATGAAACAGCGCAAACAGGCAAAATCAAGGTAACGCGCATACCCACAGAAGAACAAAAAGCGGACATATTCACTAAACCGCTCAAGACGATGCTCTATACAAAACAAAAACAAAGCATCCAAATACAACCCCCCCACACAGAGCAGACCTCGCGTCGGGGGGAGTGTGGATCCACCCAGAACCCAGAAGGACGCTCGGCCTGCCTGAGCCTCTGCGGTTTCACCCAGATAAGACAGCACCCCAATAGGGCACTGCCAATAGGGCGGCTCGTAGTCAGAACCAAATAAAGCTGCCGTCACCTCCGCCCCAACAGTGGTCGGAGGCATCGGACTCTTTCTGGCACCACACACAGACCACCTGATCAGACACTGACTGAAGTTCTTTGTACCTTCGAAGGTACTGTACTTCCACACTGCTCGGTGAATTCAGAGTAGGTACAGTACACTGAAGCGTACATCCAGCAAGGTCCAGCAATCCCAGACATCACAGGTTTGCATCACATTACAGGCCTTGGTTCATTTTCTGCACAAAAAAACATATTTCTTGATTATTGAGGGTTCGAATCAGCTGAACAAAATTCTGAAATGACGAAATCCTCAAACTTTGCCGAAGGTTCTGTTTTTCACAAAACCCACAGTGAAAAGTTTCTCCCCTTTATTAAGCCAGAGGCGACATAGTTTCATTCTCGGTCTCCCGTCGTGACTCACTCAGGCTAAGGATCGGATAAGAACCCTCTTTATTGTGTCTAGGTTTTTTCGTTCACAGACGAACACATCATGGCTTCCGTCGTATGGATGGCAGTGTTCATTCTGCTCATGATCGAGCTTTTCATCACCGGGCTTTTGGTTTTGCCCCTTCCCCGCCTCATCCGCAGATTCATTGCGAAAAAGATTTTCACATACGATCTTGCGAAGCGTGTGCGCTTCTTATCGAATTTTATCATCTTAGGTCTGGTGTTGGCCGTGTCTGATGCAATCACCACTTTGCGTCGCCTCGAACAAAAGTTGGACATGAGTAGTGAAGGTGTGAAGCAGCACACGGGCGAAGCCAGAACTGGATACATTGAAGTTAGCATGGACAAGCAACGCAAGTTCAGGGCAGAGAGAAATGTACGTTTGCGAGCTCCGTTTGAACTGATGAGGTCTACCTGTGGAAACAAATCTTCATTATCTAACAATGTTCTTTCTTCATTTACTCGGAATTCTGCTGTCCGGGAATCGGCGGGGATCATGTCACTGACATGACACACAGAGCAAGTAGTGAGACACCGTTCATGAAAGACACGCCTGTTCCACAGCGACAGTATAACTGACTAACGATCTTCTCTTGTTTGTGAATTTATTATCACAGTGTACCTTGCTGGTTTCGCACTCACGTTGATGTTTGTCATCGCCCGGATTGTCGAACTGATGCAGCAGAATACGGAGCATGAAGACGAAAAAGAGACATTGTCACAGAGACTCAAGGACATCGGCGATTCCGCCGAGAAGAAACTGGGTGGGCCGATCACCGACATCTCAACCGCGACGGAAAGTGAATCGACGCTCCGAAAGCGCAGCGGCACAGCTACGGAAAATGCGGACAAAAGGGATTAGAGGTGTTGTCCGTCACTAGACTAATAGGGCGATGGTTGCTGTAACTGTATTGAATGGAAACAGGAATAATTCCGTACACTACTTGCGTCGTTGATGTAAACCAGCACCACTAACGTGCCACGACGGCGGATCCTGCCTGCGTTCTTCTGGCCGTACGACTGGCTGTGTAGTGTAAATGTGGGAAGGATCCTGGGGATCAACAAATGCGTCATTCTGATCAGGGAAGAATTGGGCTGGTGGCGGCGCAGACTCGTTCACGGCGACGGGCGGTGCTTGCTGCTGCGTCTGTTGCGTTTGGGCAAGTTGTTGGCGTGTGGCTCCTAGGACGTTGTTGAATATGGGGAGGAAGGTGTTGACGCCACCTTCTGCAAAGTTGATGCGGATGGACAAGTCGCCGGAAAAGGGCTGCTCGTCGTAGTACATGATGCCCGCAGTGAGGTTGATGCAGCCGAAGATGGGCTGGTTGAGCCTCTCGTCGTAGATGCCGCGGAAGGGCATCTCGAAAGTGGCGGCGCCGGCCTTCTGCTGGTCTTGTTGGCGGATCATAAAAACCATGCTGTGGTGCGGGCAGGGAATTTGTAAGCCGAAGTTCACACGCGGGAAACTGTGCAAGGCAGGGAGCGGTTTAGTGGTGATAAGTGCGAAACGAACCGCAAGTTGGTCATGAAGAGGCGACCTTTGAGACGCTTTGCTGTGCGCGCGGAGTCGCGGAAAGAGACCTCGGTCTTGTCGCGGGTGAGGAGGAAGACCTCGCCCATGAACGGCAGCGGGAAGGGGCCTTCGGGACCGGTGGTAAGGGGAATATTGACGGCCATTTCGTGTAGTTTGGTACGTTGCCTCAGCAGAACGGGTCAAGGAAGGAGATGCTGGAAGTGACACACCGGGGGGTTTCCGATGGCACTAATGTTTTGAACAACAAGACAAGGGGGGACAAACCGGAGCATTGAGAGAGCATATTGGTAGGGGCCAGCAATGTATTTTGCACTGTCGGGGTCGTGTACTGTAATTGGTCTCCAAGTTTGGTTCAGGTTGAAGTTCTCTCCGAATCTGATTCGCTGGAAATTAAATTTCGTTCATCCCGGATGGCGTGTGTGAGAGGCGTCATCAAACTGTAAACATACAGATGTAAGGACACTTCCTTAATAGGCACAGCACACGTGTGTTCTATTGTACTGAGCTGTACTCACTGGTCACTCTCAAGGCAGCTGAGATCAAGCGAGGTGCTCCTGGACATGACACGGATCTGTAAGATCGGGTTTCCCATCGTCACTCGAGACCCGTCTAGAGTGTTGTAACCAACTTGCTGCGCTCTTCACGAGGGAGCAGTCCATCAGGCGTCCCGCGATTTCGTTCAACACCCTCGTCCCGCCCGCCATGTCTGCCCGCTATGCCTTTGCCAGCTCCTTCATCCTCCCCATCTTAAATCGCTCCCGCTCTGCCACCGCCCCAATTTTCTCACCGCGCCACCTGTCCTGTCGCCCGACTCCCTGCACATGGACTGCGACTGCCACAGGGCAGCCATCCGCCGCCCCGCCCTTCGCGAAGGACGCTCAGCCCGCCGCGCCGCGCCTCTTGCGGAAAGGCGACACGTTGGACTTGGTCATCGATAAGCTGGCATACGGCGGCGCCTCGGTCGCATACATCCCGCAATCCCCCGAGCGCGTCGAGGAGGACGTTGGTATGCCCGTATACGCCCCAAGAGGAGCGCATCCTGGCGAAATTGTGCGGTGCGCTGTCACCAAAGTCCGACGCCGCGGAAAGCTAAAGCTCGACCCTTCCATCACACATGCCACGCCTGTTTCCACTAGGTCTTACGCAGAGGCCATTTTTGTAAAGCGTCTGGCAACATCACCACACGCTGTGGAATCGCCTTGCAAGCACTTTGGTAATTTCAAGCTCGGCGGAGGAGGGTGTGGAGGGTGCTCGTCTCTGCACGTTGCGTATCAGGAGCAGATCAGGCAGAAGCAAGCACAGATGAATAACGTTTATGCAAAAATTTGCCGGAAGTATGGCGTCAAAGTGTTACCCGTGCTTGAGTCTGAGCATGCGCTTCATTATCGGAACAAGATGGAGTTTTCCTTTGGGCGCCGCTGGTATGAGATAGGTGGGCAGCCGAATGAAATTTACATGAAAGGTCCTACCAACTATGAGTACACGGTGGGTTTGCATGCCCCACAGCGCTACGACAAGGTCGTGCAGATAGAAAGTTGCCCCATTCAACAGCCCATTGGCGATGAAATTTTGAACTATGTTCGGGAAAGAAGCCCCGCCTTACTTTTAGAGCCCTACGACACCAAGAAAAAACTGGGCTACTTGCGGAATGTCGGGATCCGAACCTCGACAAACGCCAGAGGTGAAGTGGAGGTCATGGTCAATCTCGTCACCAGCCCTTGTGATGTGCCAGGAAGACTGGTGCCATTTGCCACTGAAATAACAGAAAAGTTTCCGTCTGTCGTGTGTGTGGTACAAAACATGAGCGGCGAGAAAGGGGGTCACGATATGGATGAGGGCCGCGAACGTTTACTGGCCGGCTCGAAAAAGTACATCGAGCAGGTGCTCGGTCGACTTGTTTTCCGTATATCTGCAAATTCCTTTTTCCAAACCAATCCAATGCAAGCCCAACTTCTATACAACGAAGTCCAGAAGGCGGCTAAACTGACTTCGGATGATACGGTGTTGGATCTATTTTGCGGGACAGGCACCATCGGTCTTTCTCTTGCAGCAAGTTCGAAACACGTTGTGGGGATTGATATTGTTGCTTCAGCTATTGAAGATGCTAATGAGAATGCCATGGCGAACAACATTGCAAACGTTACTTTCGAGCAGGGCAACTTGGACAAGGTGGATGCCGTACTGAAGGGTGCAGGTATACCGGACGCAAATGTTGTCGTTGTGGATCCCCCGCGGGCTGGGCTTCATCCGGGTCTCTTGAAATTCCTGGCACAATGCCAGGCGAAACGAATTGTTTATGTGAGTTGTAACCCTGTCAGCCAAGTGCGCGACCTTGAACTGCTAGAAGAAAAGGCAGAAGGCAGATTCCGAGTTTCAAGCATACAACCTGTGGATATGTTTCCAAACACACCACATGTCGAAAGCGTGGCAACACTTGAACGTGTCTGACAGAGAATTACTGGAATGAGAATTTTGGCCTCAAGAATGTGGTTCGACTCAACTGGCAGGTTTCAGACCCTTTCACTTCATCGTTATTGCAACGGCATTAAGGACAAGCTAGATACAAGGAACCGACGATACGGCGAGAGAGCACACTCTCTCTATGTACAGAGGTTGTCCTGTTGTAATGGCCGCATATTGTGTTGCCTCCGCACAGGCGAAGGATCTCAAACGCGAAAAAGAACTGAACATCACTATCCGCAGGACGTCGTCTACCAGAGCCACTTCGACAAGCTTGTGGTAGATCTCGATGGATGTTGTTCTCGTTGTCTTCTTTTCCGCTTTTCTGGTCGAAGGCAGAAAAGGTTCATGGATCGAAACGGAATCCCCGAATGATTGCCACCCAGATTGGGGCGTAGTAGGCCTGTGTCTGAGTCTTGAGTAAGGGTTCTATAGAGGTAGAAGCCAAATTTGCGCAAGGCCACATTCTGGAGGGCACCATCGACGGGCGCTATGAAACATTTTCGAGAAGTGCTCAAAAAGTGGCTTGCTGTCCTGACGTCCGAGTCGTCGACGATATTGGAGCCCTTCGGGCGTGTTGTGGATTTGACGAGAACCCAGACGCAGGTGAGATTCAAGTAGTCGAGCATCTCCATATCGGTCCTGACGATAGATTCGAATGATGAAATGTTGAAGTAATCTGCACACAAGACGACAAGCTTTGGAGACTGTCTTTGGACTCTCATAATAAGCTCCGGTCCGATAGAAAACATGGGACACTCGATTAGTACGATTCGAAAGAGTTTCCCATTTATATACAGGGTAGATTTGGATCTGGAAGCGATATCAGCCCCATCGACAGGAGGGAATGTAGCGAGGAGGCGTTGTGCTAAAGGCATCAAGATTTTTCTGGAATGTCCGATGAGCGCGATATTATGTGGCACTCGACCTGTGAGAATTGGAGATGAAGTTTGTGCAGCTGGTCGTCGAGAGTTGGAAGCGTCTTGCGTAGAAGTGTTGGTCGCCGAATGGGGGCGGGTGTGAGGGGGCGGGGAGAAGAGGCTGGGATGTGCTGATCCTGTTTGTCGAATGTGTCGAAACGCGATGTGGTGCTCTCTGGGGAGCGACCTGACGGATGATTGGGCCTGGGTAGCGACGCTAATCGATGACATGGAGGTGGTCCGCGAGTGAATAGACGCTGTGTCGTCATCTCGCGGCCCGACAAGGGAAGGCATGCTTCGGCGCGTGCGGAGGCTTCTCGGAAGTTCGGCAAGGACAGGTTCATGGACACCTGTGTGGTGCGTCGATGTGGATGAGCGTGAGGGATTGGGTCTGTCTGGGAGGAGACTTGGGGTGACGAGGGCAAGCGGGAGGGGGAGTCCGGTTGATAAGAATGTGATGGACGTGACTGTCGTTCGACAGACGGGGCAGACTTTCAGCTGGGAACGACGGAAGCATGTGAGGCAACAATGAGTGTGTTGACATGGTGCGAGAGTGATGTCCTTGTCGGTGTCCATGCAGACGACGCATACTGAGGACGAGGGGGGAGAAGAAGGGGCTGGTCTGAGAGGGTGGAGCGAAGGATCGAGTGGGTTAAGAGGGCTTGGTTTCACGCAAGGAGATGAAGGGGTGCTGTTTTCGTTACTCGTGTTCATCGGGTGAGAAGTTTGGGCTTCGGACATGTTGAGGATTTTTAAGGGAATCGTAATGAACGCATGTCAAACACGGCATTCAAGAACCGAAAGGCACGGTGAGGACGTAGACGATAGGAAGGAGGAAAGATTTTGAGTAGAAGAAGGATGACTTGGAAGAAAATGCGGGGTGGTCGTTGTTAGGTTGGCGCACGAGATGGGGGCGCCTAGCTTGTAGATGGCGCCATGTGCACTGCGAAAGGTGCCCTTCAAAGAGTACCGTCAGGGGAATCGGGCGATTGGTGGTTAGTCAGAAGGGGAGATGGGGAGAGGAAGCTGAATTGGAACTTTCTCTCCCTCTGTGCGATGCCCTTATTTTTTTCGAAGAAAAAGATACAAGGGCACTGTCCATGCAGTCATGCCCCATTTTCCCATTTTCTTTGCAGGTGCGCTCGACCTGGAGGCAGCCCCTCGACCGCGGGAGAGCGGAAGGCCGGATTTTGCTTAAATTTCGTACCGCCACGTTGCCTCGCCTTCCTCGCAGCAAGCGAACGTACAGTAGCACGCGCCTCCGCATTTAAATTTGAATTTTCTGTTTTTTTTTGTTTTTTTGCATTGCTGTTTTTAGAAGGCCAGCCACTCACATTCTCATTCTGTCCCATGCGCCGTGCAGAGGAGTCCTGCACAAGTGCCTTGGAGGTCTGCACCAACGGGATCTCGGGAAAAGGAATGGCACAGGTGTAAGTGTGCTATGATGTATTTTTGAGAATTCGCCCTGCGAATTCGCCCTGCGGTGGTGTACTGTAAATTACTGTGGTTTTAGGTCCGAGCCCTCGCCACCCACTACTGTACACGGTTCCACGACGCACACGTTTTACAACGTATCCACGACTTCCACGACGGACCCGTGGCCCATGGCGTCATTTTTGGGATCAACATCTGGTGAAGTGGGCCTTGGAAACTCTTTCTCGTGGAGGCGCCATGCAGCGATTGTGATGTGAATTTACTGTACTGTACCATGCCGGCGGGGGGCATTGGATGGCAGAGGAGCCGTCCCGCCAGCAAGGCGACCAGGCTAGTGCGGGAAGCAAGTTTGTGCGTTTGCATCGCCGCCGTGACGTAAGATCAAACCTGAATTTGCGCAAGGGTTCACCGTAACATTACTTCTTTGACTTGATCGCCGGCTGCTCCGCGCCCGCGGACCAATCACAGAACAACTGCTGCTCTAGAGACATCAGCGTCGCGGAACAGATTGTCGCCGCGAGAAACCCCGGCAGCCAACTCATGTCACGCTTCCGTTTCCGACCTTAGACCACCATCGTCATGTCCAATGTGAAAGCGGGGATGAAATCGAACATCAATGTTCGAACATCAATGTTCAATTTCATCCCCGCTTTATGTCTACGTGCTCTTCCGCTGCGCTGTAGCGCAATGCCCATATAAACGCGCCTTCCTCATCGCACCCCGCTATCGCTTCATCTCTCTTGCGCGCATTCCACCTATCCCACCTACCACACAACTCGCCTTCACAATGGCTTCGTCCACCCTCCTCACCGAGTACGCCGTGACGCTATACGAAATGACTATCACGCGTTCGCTCCGCGTCAAATGGCTCGCCGCCGAGCTCGGCATCCTCGACGACATAACGTTGCGCCCAGTTGCCCTCCTGAACCGCGAGCAGTACCAGGCCCCCTTCAAGGCGCTCAACCCCATGTCCGCCGTCCCCTTGCTCTGTCTGACGCACAAAGAGACGAAGGAGGATACGCTTGTCACCGAAAGCGCTGCCATCTGCCACTTGCTGACCGATCAGATCCCCACCGGCTCTGATTTCAAACCGCCCGCGACAGACATCCCAGCCTACGCGGCGTACCACCGCTGGATCGCCTTCGCGGCAGCCTCCATGGACTCAATTTTGTGGCAGATCCGCCTGAACGAGCAGCTGCTGCCCGAGAAAATGCGTAGTGCGACGGCCGCTAAGGTGGCTAGAAACACCTTCTTGAAGAAAGTTGTGCCGACGCTGGAACAGGTGTTCGAGGGAGGCGCAGAGTTCGTGTGCGAGCCGCACTGGGCCGGGTTTTCGACTGCCGATATTATGGTCGGGTATGCATGCCGTTGGTCAATGTGGTATGGGTTGTTGGACGACTCGCCAGTCCTGCTGGCTTATGTAGAGAGGGTTATGGCGAGGAAGCAGTTTAAGAGGGTGTTTGGCGACGGAAAGTTGTGAAGTGGGAGTGGTTGTAATTGCAGAATGTGCACCATGTGGAGAGTTGGGCTGTTGTGAATACCGCAGCAGTTTCAATGGGAGCGACAACTAGAGCTCAGACTTTTCTAAGGGCAGCGGAGCGACTTCACGTGTATGAAGTATTCTGTTGAGATGGGGAATGGGGAACGGGAAAGCGCTGCTTTGGTACAGAGTAAAGTCTCGATATGAACCGAAATGTGGCGCGAGTGTTCGCCTTACCGAGCCAGTTCATATGAACTGTGAATGACTTTATTTTTCCAGAGAAAATTTCTTACGTGCCCCTTTTATTTGGGAATTTTTGTTACGTGCCCCCTTCTTCACCTCACCCCCGAACGATTTTCCGGTAGAGGTACACAGTGTCTGGGGCTTCGCAAGTCGTAGTGTAGTGCCCAACTTGACCACAAGCAGAGCAACGCGACTTTCGTTGAGGCGCTGCGACCCCCTGTTTCCGCCGTTTCTTCGGCCGACCTGCCTGACTCGGAACTCTCCACGCGCTCATCTGTCTGGCAATAGGCAGAATCTGCAAATCCACGTTAATGTTTACTTGAGAGGCAAGGGCAGCAGCAGCAACATACTGGCGTTCAAGTGTTGCATGATGAAAAACAGTCGATGCTCAATTTGTGTCCAGCTGATTCCAGTGTGCAGCCTCTGGGACGTTGGCATGCTGCTCGCGTAGATTATCAAACACTAGCACACGGCTAGGGGCTTGCGCTTTCGTTTCCCCTTTATTGCGTCGCAGGAGTGAGCGAGATTGAGTTTTCCCACTCTCCACAAGCCGTTGTTTGCCCTGCGGTCTGGTTGAGCGTTGACAATGTATGAGCACTCCTGGGAGGGGCACTTTACACGCAGGCGCCCGGGGTCTGACTTTTTTACCTTGTGAGATCGGCCCACGGTGGCGCACAGGGCTAAGGATGCCATCAAGATGCTGTGCTTGTCAGGGAACGTGCTCCCTTTGATCAAACTCATTCCGACGACGCCCTCTTCACCTTTTCATCACTCTAGCGCCCCCAAGGGAAGGGGCTTATATAAAGGGGCTTATAAAAGGGGCACGTAACAAAAATCCCCAAATAAAAGGGAGCACGTAAGAAATTTTCTCATTTTTCTAACTTTCAGGGGGAGCCGATGCTATCCCACAGGACGGGCGTTTAAGAGTCACATTTGGGTGGGACATGATAAGGCCGAGCCGTGATAAGGCATACGGGCGATGGTAGCCGAGGCTACACTGGACCATATCGTGTCGCTAAGGCGCTGGGAGAGACGGGACTTGGCAGTTCCAAATAAAGTCCCAGTGCGAGTCGCGATCTGACGAGCAAGAGAGTCAAGTACGGATGTGGTGCGGGCACTTGGGGCGCCAAGAGTGTCAAATGCAAGAGGACGAATTTCTAATCAAGGGGAGGTAGATCAGCGTTGTCCTCCAGATGCAGTGCAGCGCGCATAGTTCGAACTGTGAACAGTGGCGGAACTGCTCATGTACACGTGTAGCCGTGGTACAGGTACAGGGTACAGCATACCTTGGTCAAATGACCCTGTGTGTCGACGGGCGACGTCGACGGGCCCATTCGGACATTCAGAACTCTTCCCGTTGTGAATCGGCCTTCCCTCTATTTTCATTCTGCCTAATTAAGCATGGAGAACATCCATGTAGCTGTGTCTCGTGCGACATCAGCTGCGCTTGATGCAGCCGAGCAAGCGCACGCTGCTGCGCAAGCAGCAGCACTGCACCCAACAAGCAACCCCAAGAAACCGATGCAGGTCGCCCTATCTGATAGGCAGAAGGCTCTGAAATTGCTGGGATTTCAAGGCGATGGTACCTGGAATCTGAAGCAAAGACGTATTGATAGCTTCTGTCGTCGCTGATGGTTAGTTTCTAGTGTGCTTTTAGGCCCCGACAAAGTGAATTCTAGTTTTTTTCATGCTTCTTATGTTCATTATATCGCGTAATTCATTCTATCGAGTCTGGTTCACCTCACAAATACCAAACTGTCGTTTCTGGGCCAAAAAGCGGGGTGGCGCCTCCCTCACAGCCTTTCGGTCCACTGCACCGAGACAGTTCATCCTATCAGGTACACAGCTTATCGAGACTTTACTCTGGACACAGTTTTCAAGCATTGCTTCAGTGGTGATATTTTGAGAGATTGTTCATAACGGATCGAGACGTATACAGTAAACAATAATTATGCGGACAAGTTGCGTACACCTTAATGTGTATCTTTGCATGACGATTCATCTGCGCACCGTCGCTGGGTGTATAGCACAGGGTTAGAGCGGGATACTCTCGTGTTTTAATTTTTTTAATTTTTGGACACAGCACGGCGGGGATGGGGCGGAAGGTTTGTAGAGAGGTACATGGGGTAATTTCAGCGAATGTTTCGAAGCAATGGATGTGGATTGAGCAGAGTTGGGTGGCGGGAGGTGTAGATATTGAGATGAAAAGGCGAGTGGGGTGAGCACCAGTGCAATTCTCAAATGTCGGCCACAAACGGGATATGGACCTTTCGGATTGGATCTGTAGGGTTTCGATCCGGGTGTTCGATCCAGAGTCGGATCTCCCCCGTAGTCTGACAGTTAGCCATGCGTTGGCGTTCTTCTCGGGCATTGCCGATGTCCGATATTGATGCCAGCTGCCGGCAGCAATGGACATGTGGAAGATGATGTTTGCCTGTTGAAAAAACGAATACTTGTAATCGAGCTAAAGGGGGGAATATGCGCTGGAATTCTAGCAATTGCGAAACCGCCACCATTTGGAAAAACAGCTTGTCTGGTGCAGGGAAAGGGGCCATGTGTGGTGGACCGGCATTGGGAAAGGCGGATGGGAGATGGTGGACCGGCATTTGGGAAAGGCGGATGGGAGATTTCGAGATTGTCTTTGAGGCAGAGAGACAATCTCTGGAGGCTGGAAATTTGATGGAGGCGGTTTACATCGGCCTAAGCGGCATGGAGACAGCGTTCATGCACATCCAAAAGTGGGGCAACAGGGATTAAATTTTTGCATGTCATGCTCGAAGCGGCAGGCCCGCGGACCAACAAGTTGCGTGCTCACACAGTTTCCCCGGACAAGCGGTGCAAGCGGTGCCCGAAATTTTGCGGTTTATTGCATGTGCGAGGGCATCTTGTCGCCGGTGGCGGAGATTTCCGCCTCGCACGCACATTTCTCCCTCGCTGTCGAGTGCCCCGGTTGGCATTCACACTCGTCCTGGCCGAACCGACGCTCTCAGCGCCGCCGCCCTATCCCATCCGACACGAAATATTTATCCACTAAACAGCACATCTCCTGCCGCTTCCCCCCTCCCCGCCTCTATTCATGCAAAGCCTCCTCCCACACCCTGTTCGTTTCACGCCTGCTGCCAGGAACAACCACCCCGCTTCCCACTCGAACCGTCACCCTCGTCCGCCCCCCATCCCAAACCAACTCGTTCCACACGTCGTACTACCCAACTACCGAAATCCTTCCTGCCGCTTCTTCGCACTACGAACTGGCCCTAGTCTGTCCTCCTCTCGGCGATCCCCCCGCCTCTCCTACCCTTGCGCCCACGTCGCTCTCATTTCCATTCACGCCCGCCTTGTTTACTACGCACAGGCGCTCTCAAGAAAACTACTGCCGACCGCTAAGAGTTCAGCGCCACGGTTCCGCCCTAAACGCCGCCCTCCGAGCCCCCGAACGACAAGCCCTACTCCTCCCTTGTTTCTGCCAACCGCAACCACCACTACGTCATGACCGCCGAGGCCCACCACGGCCCGCGCCTCCCCGACAAGCGCAAAGCGTCTTCCGCCTTCGCGACCTTACCTCCGGTCACTCCCCCCATGCTGGATCCCGGTTTTCGCTACCCGCGTCTCACCCCGAACCTCCGCGAGATGATTCATGGCTTCAGTCAAGGAATTCAAGAAGCCTCCACCCCAACGCACGACTCAACGCACGACTTTCTCACCTCTCCTGACCCTCAAGCAATGTACAACTCCCTGCAGGTTGGCTCCCCAATTCTCCGCGATTTTTATCCCACTAGTCAAAGCCTCATGCCACAAGCGGCTTACGAACACAACGACGGCTCGGGCGAAAGAATGGAGAAGATGAGCGCCGCCTGCGCTGAAATGAACGCCCTATTCTGCAACTCGATGAACCCTAATGATTCGGGCTACCGGTCAGATGGAAACCAACAACCAGGCATCATCAGTATGATGTCCTCTCCAGAGCTCCGTAACGAAACTGGTGACGCTAGCGGTAGTGGAGGGAGTGGGTTTTCGTCTAGTGGAAGTAGTCAACGACGGGATGGACAGAAGTCTTCATCTGGTTCCCAGTCTTCCTCACAGACTCCTCCACCTGCTGAGACATCCTCGTGCACTCCAACAAACTCGCTACCGGATGAGTCTGCAAAGAACGAAGGGGAAGTTGCCAAGAGCGAGGCTCTTTTCGAGGGCAGCGAGAAGTTCAAAAAGACTCCTTCAGCTGGAGAAAAGCAAAAGAGGCCATCCACTAGGACAGCGGGTAAGCCTTCATATGTTTCTGAATCAGTTTCGGGTTCGGTTTCGGGTTCGGTCTCAGCTCCAATCTCCGCTGCGAGTGTGCCACCCCCAGCATCGCACGTGCAAATGCAAATGAAGGCATCGGCGATGATGGCGGCAAATGCCGCTGCTATGAACCCTGGGATGGCGGGGCTATTGCCGTTCGCATGTGCCATGCCGTCACCAATGGGTCACATGCTTCCGCCCCCAGGCGCAATGCATTACCAAGGCAGACCAGTGGCGTTTGTAACAGGTGCCAACGGGACGGAAATTATCCCTATGGATATGTTTGCGCAAGCTACGGCGCTGCAGTATGGGGCTGCAGCGCAAGCCGCGATGTCAAGAATGATGCACCCTGTTGCTGGACAAGGGCCTGTGCCTCCCAGACCAGCACCACATTTCGAAGCAATCGGTGGAAGCCGAAAACGGCGGAGAAGGCAACTGCTGGAGAGAAGTGGGTGTACCGAGGAGCAAGCAAGACAGAACCGAGCACACGCATTGACGAGACTACGACAGAAAAAGACGTTGAGAAGTCAACAAAGCAAGGTGCGATACGCATGCCGGAAACGGATTGCAATGGTTCGACCTCGGGTAAACGGGCGGTTTGCGACGAAAGAAGAAGTGGAAGAATGCAAACGAAGCAATAGCTGAAACTGATGTCTATGTTTATCTGATGTTTATGCTATTATGTGTTGGGGTTGGGGTTGCCGAGTCAGAAGTTGACGTCCTTCAGATAGCCTAGGAGAAGACAAGGCTACTAAAATGCTCAATGTTATTTGCGATTTGATACAGGACACTAGGGAAGCATCAAATTACTCGTGGCTACGTACAAGTTGCTGCCTTTGTACTATTATCCGTTGTATATACATTTATCTGCAAACCAATATACCTAAATGACTTTTGACGGAGTACTTTTGTGTGCATGTGTGTGTGGGTATGTGTGAGTATTTGTGAGTATGTGTGAGTACGTGTGAGTACGTGTGAGTATGTGTGCAAGTGTGTGATTTGCTGCCGGATGACGCTGAATCGTCGACGTTCTCGTTGACTTTCTCCGTCCGTCAACAGTGCTTCGTGCTGCTAATGGTTGCATGACCAAACATAGGGTATGACTGAATTTGTGTGTTAACGTGTACTTGATTTCAGTGTGGCTCGTGCCGAAAATGGGAGATCGAGAGTGAGGGTTGGCGTAGAGTCTCAAGGAGAGTTGGCAGATATCTGCGAAGCGACACATACAATAACAGACGGTCAGCGGGACGAGGCGGTGAAGCGGTTGACCGATGTGAGCGACAAGTTGCAATAGGGGAATGCCTGCAGATTTCTTCCACATCGGCACATGCCCCGATCCTCAATATGCAAAGCAACAAGCACACAGTCCTCTCACAAGCTCATGCTGGCATGCTGGCATACTGGCATGCTGGCATGAGCTTGTGAGAAGACTGTGTGCTTGGCACCAATACGTTTTTGCACAACGGTGTCCACACATTACGACCCCACGCGTCAATGCACAAGCTACAGTAATGCCATTGGTGTATCATAGTGTACTAGGCCCGCTGTAATTCATCATCCCTACACTCTATCGCAGTCAATATTTTGTGGACTGTACCATCTGTGACTGTACAGTATCATCTTTTGGAGACGCGCCCGTTGATTGGGCATTACGATGGCTCGCGAATGGATTCTGCCCAATAGTGTCGCGTACGACAACCGTCGACTGCCCACAACAATTCTCGCCCACAATGGATGACTGATGTCCACCCTTTGTGGCAACCATTGCCGAAGTATGGATCCTGATCTCATCACACCGCTGTTGTCGGCGACGTGTTCCCTCGCCTCCCTCTTCGCCAACTCATTACACATACATCATTACCGTTGAGGGCAACCTCCGTCCTGCAGGGGCTTCCGCACCGTGGACGCACTTCACGCTTCCAGCATGGCGCTTCCGAATCTCTTCTACCAAGTCGGCTTCGGCCTCGCATTCCTCAACACCCTCCTCGTCCTCTGGACCGTCTGCAAGCTAATTCACATTCTTCCAGGGCTTGGCCCGCTTTCACAGCGACACGCCTACAGCATTGCTCTCTCATCGACATGCTTCAACTACCTTCTTATCAAGGCTTGCCCCTGGGTCAAGCTCCGCGGATTGCCCGAGCTCGAACAGGCATGGGCGCAGATGGCTGCTGAAGGAGCAGCCCCATTCGTCATCGCCAATCACAACTCTAAGTTGGATTCCTTGCTCATCACCGCGCTTCTTCCCACATGGCTGGGACCCCGTATGCGATCGCTTATTAAACTAGCCTTGTTTAGCGAGCCGCTGTTTGGCGGCATTTGTACCGCGGTCGGACATTTTCCTGTTTATTTCAAAGGCTCTAAAGCAGGTATGTTTCCACGAGGCCTGGGCAGTTCCCTGCTTCTTCCCCATTGTTTTGAATGCCTCTTGTGACTAACGTCGGTGATTCGGTTTGCTCTTGCGACACTCGCTTTTGTTTGTCAGGTGATTTTGGTGTAGACAAGGAGGCACAAGGCAAAGTGGCCGTTGCCATGGATAAGTTTTTGCGAGAAGATGGGGGACTTCTGATGTACGTAGATACAGCCATCACCGACTCTTTAACATTCCTTTGCCATGCATCTCCCTCCTGCATAGGTCTAACTACAGCTAGTCACTGTTTTCTAACACACTTTTCTTTTCATCTCTACAGCTTCCCAGAGGGGCAATTGAACAAGACTCCGCGAAAGATACAGACGCTGCGCCGCGGTGCATTCAATCTAGCGATCGCGCACAAGAAGCCAATATGGGGCTTTATTAACGTTGGCTGCGAAAAAGCCTGGCCATATACAAGCGCGATGGGCGGTTTCCCGTGCGACATTTACGTACGCGCCTTCAAAGTAACGGATGACGCCTCCAAGTTTGACAATATCCAGCTAGCAGACCATGCTGGCAAGATCATGCAAGAACAGCTGGACGAAATATATAACATCATCGACAATAAAAAGTTGGAGTAGCCCGCGTTGTAGCGGGACAACTCGGCACCTTTTTGACGTGGGCAGCTTGAGGCTTGGGGTGCCGCTATACTGTACACGTAGACTATTTGTCGTGATCACGACTGCAGTTGAGGCAATTGCATATACCTGTGGTATGGCGAGCCCAACATATTTTGAGTTCTCTCGCCTCGTACAGAGTTGTTAATTGCCGAAGATTAGAAGAGAAAAGGCCATGAGGACACATGCCAAGGCTACCCATGGGCTCAATCGCTCCCCTGCGATAGCACACATACGCAAGAGAAGTCAAGAAAAGAACAATTTGATTTGGTCAGCAATTGCAACCTCCAGGGCCATCCTGTCATCGCCAGCGGGTTCGCGCGACAGGGTGTCGTTTGTCGTAGACTGCGTAAAATCAAATCGCGAGCCTATGCATACCGATTCGCGCAGCCTTCCAAAAGACGCCGAGAAATCCTTGTCGATTGCCGTCTAGCAGTGCGGGATACATAGTGTGTATGTAAGCGCAGGTGCAAATGACCAGGAGTAAGACGACGAGAAGACTCTGGAAATTGAAGAAGGCGGACATGGTGGAACTGCTGCGAAACGGAACGGAATTTGGATGCAATGAACGCCCCGAGGGACGGGTGTCCTCTCTCGCACCGGATCAGCGCGATTGTCCTTCGATCGATCAGCACAGGAGCGTAGCGTTGGAAGACGCATCCATCACGCAGGTGCTCTACGAAAGTCGGCGCAGACTGCTGACTGGGATGGAGAAGTTGATTGCTGGTACAGTACGCTACGAGCAGAGCTGGGCAACCGCGATTATGACACGTGTACTAGTTCAAATTAGAGGGAGGTTTACACGTTTCAGACGTGCCAGCAAGGTGTAATTCTTTGCGATGCACGCATCGCGAGTCCTGGACGTTTCCGCGGAAAGAAAAAGGAAACAAAAAGAAGGGTTTCTATTGCAATTCCTGAAAAATATAAACCTTTCGGGCGGGTTGGCGCCAAGACTTGAGTTCAACTTATCAGTCGGTGACAGCCCTCAAAAATACTGCAATTCCCTGTAGTATGATAAAATCTAGAGCATTCTTGGCGCCGCCGGTTAGATCAAAAGTCGACGCCCACGAGGTCAGAGGGCCCATTTTCCTCCAACTTCCACCATCCTGACTTCTTACCGTCATGTTCATCCCCTTCCTGTTTTACCACAATGCCTCCACCGACATATTATGTTCAGCGTTGAGTGCCTAACACATTTCCGAAGTCACGGTGGCGGGGATGCATAATGAGCTCTGAGCGCACGGATGTTGCTGATCCACTCTATGCACAGGGTACCAGTGCAGTTCCTTGCTTCGCTTGTAAAAGCAAAGATGTGTGAAAACCTAGTCTCCAAGTCAAACTAACCACACACACAGTCATGGTTTTTGCTTCCATCCATACAGGAAAGGTTCCGAATCCTTTTTCGTCGCTTAACAACACTGAAACTGCAGTAATCCACTTGTGCTCATACTGTAGGAGCAAGAGTAGCGGTTGGGATGTTATTTCAAACAAATGAAAGCACGGAAAGCATGTTGCCGAAAGAGCTTTGCGCGCCTGGAAGTCGCGCAGCAACCCAATTTCCAACCAGAGGTCTGACGTGAGCTGTCACATCTGTTCGTCATTGACGAAGAATGGCGAAAGCCGTACGCAACCCACCTCATGCCGACGACATCTTACCGCAAGCCGTGTCGGGATTTTGCTATATTTAATGTCACTCACAGTTCTCAAGGCGTGAAGGAAGCCTTCATTACAGAGTTTGCACGACTTTCTCGGTGTGATGAAGCCCCAGTATGTGAAGTGCTTCAGGATCCAAGTATGCACTTGCTCTGTCGTATTCATTTAAATCATACCCGATACGCTCGAAAGCTGTCCAGGCGGCATGATAGCTGCGGTACAACCGTAGGGACGCTAAACCGTAAACAGAAAAGGACAGGCTGTACCTAAAATGAGGGAGCTTGGGGGACCGCTTCACTGGAGCGTCAGGTAGAATAATCCGGAACGGTAGGAAGCACAGGACAAGGGAGGTACACCGCACTGGACACGTGCAGTCGTACTGGAGTGTAGAGCAGGACGACCGGTGGCGAGCTGGAAACCTGAGGGACTTACTTAACCGTACGGTAAAGGACTAGGGTAGGAAGTAAGGGGAGGCGTGCTTGCCTCGGTTTACCTCCAGCCCGGTGCCCCCCTATCTTATACGCCCTAGTAGGGCGGTGGCACCGGACGGACTACAGTAGCTGTACATACTGTAGCCAGCTTACTGCAGCTTACGGTAACTAAAAATGACTACTGTACTAACCCACCGATCGGTCACGCACCACGTGTACACCTGCACTAGCTGGTGCCACTAACTACACGTGGACTCTCACGTGGCCACATATACACGTGCTGGCCACGTATGCACCGTATCGGTTAACATCTTACTACAGCGGGTTGCCCTAAAGTTCCGACAGTTTCACAAAAATTTAAATTTAAAGTACAAAATATTGTGCTCTCGCATCGTAACTTCAGCAGTTACTCCTAAGCGATGTGACGAACACAGCCACGTTTGATTGGTCGCGATTGATCAACTTTCGCCGTATTTGTGAGGGCGCCTGGGGAAGCGTCTGAGAGGCCTTTCTTCAGCCAGAGGTGTCTTAAAATCCGGACAGCTTATCATATAGAATCATTCAAATTTCCTAATTTTGGAAGCCGGGGGGGTAAGGGGGTCGAGCTCACAGTTGTGGCATCGTCGGGAAAGATGCCCCAACATTCTTCGCCATGTCCAAGGTCCTCTTCTTTGCGGCGTCGCCACGCTCCTTCAGTGTGCGACGGGGCATGGCCATCCACTGAGCAAGCGGGATTTTGTTGATCAGCGCCCTTCGCATGTTATCCTTCATTTCCCTCCCTTTGCGCGCCTGCTCTTTTGCGATGGTCTTTGCTCTGGCCTTTTCCGCCCTGGCCTTCCTCTTCCCTTCCTCTTCGGCCTTTTTCGTGCATAAGCAACGTCCTGCGCCTGCACCTTTTCCAAAACTGCAGAACTGGTTACTGCCAGACCGACTTGTGTGTCAATAAAGCCTCTGCGGAGTGTCGTCTGTTGAATCTCCAAGCCACCCCTGATCATAGTTCGTTTCTCCTCAAGCTTCTGGGTCAGTTCTGTCACGGACAAGGGCCTCGCGTTTCCGTCACTGGTCGCTGGAACTGGGCGTTGCAAGAGAACTAGCGGATTTATTGGCCAGATTCCAGCTCGTCTGAACGCTGCCTCTATATTCTCTTTTGTGAACGAACTTTGCATGGCCTGCGTGAGAAGGCGAGCAAAGTCAAATTGGTCGTAAACCATGGACTTGTTGCTGCTTGCTACTGAGTAGATTAGATCATTCAAGATGCTTTTGAATGGGGAAAACACGCCAACGTCCAGGGGCTGTGTTGTGCCGCTTGTGTGTGCTGGCAAGCAGTAAGCAATCACACCGCCCTCCTTGAGAGTGAGGAGGAACTTGAAGCCAAGATGACTGCGGTACCCATCGTAGATGAGCAAGACCTTTCGATCGCCGGTCGTGAGATCCTTAACGCTTTTGACAAAATGTGTGGCCCATTCGAGAAAATTTGTCTTGTCACATCCTTCAAAATCTGGGCGTACTGTGAGCAGAGCATGGCGTGGGAGGCAATCCGCGATTGTCTCAGTGAAATCTTTGCCGTTCTTCTTTATCGTTCTCGTCCGTAGACCGGTGCCTTTAAACACAAACATATTTGTGCCAATGCTTCCATCCGCGCAAATGCACGCCATCAACGTTAATCGACCGACATGGAGAAAAAGCGGACCGGGATGCTGTCCACGGATGCCAGCGCGCGTTTACGTCTTCTTTGTTGTGGTGCCAGCCACATCTTTTCCCGGCGTTAAGCCGGCCTCGTCCATGTTGTAGACACGGCGCGCATCAAATCCCCATCTCTCAAAAAGGTCTTCCAGTGCCGCTCCATGCGTTGTGAGGGTCTCGCCATTGCGCGCCTTATACCTCATAGCCTCCTGCTTTGATGCTCTGCCAAATCTAATCTCTCCCTTATGTCGAGCATTGAATCCTCGAACCCACTTCTTTCCTGGGACTCCGTCTTTGAACCGCAACTTCGCGCGTCGTTCTCCAGGCATTTGTTTCACAAGCTCGTTCACAGCCTCGACGAGGTCCGTTTGATTCAGAGGACAGCCCATGTCTGCAAAATACTGGAGCCAGTCGACCAGGGTCTGCTCCTCTTCTGCCGCTAAATCTGGCTGACGCCCTGGGCATTTGCTTGTTACTCGATCCGATTTTTTATGCTTCGCAACGCGATCATGCAGAGTTGATTTAGGAATGTGTGCTTCTGCGGCTGCCTTACGCAAACTGATACCGCCTTGGATGCATAGTTGGACCGTTTTGGCTTCGCGTCGGTCCTTTCTCACGTCTCGTCGAACACGTTTCTCCATCGCGTGCTGATGCCCTTATTGAAATGCACGCAGAAACCGCGCATTCGGTTTTCGTTGCGGTCAAGGGTGTGAGCTCAGACCGGCCATTGAGCCCTGGCGAAAGTCATTTAAACAGCTCCTGCGAGCCTCACCTCAACATTGGCATGGAAAAAGGCGCCGTTCTACAATTTCGAAAGGCAAGGAATCCAGTGGCGAGGTCGGTATGACGTGGCGACGAATGGTTTACTGCTGAAAGCGCCCTGAAGGTACCCGGAGAGACCCTTTATGGTGGTCAGGAGGGCCCGAATCATGATTCCGAATAAAATTTGCAGAATTAGCTTGTGTCCGGGGGTTAGGGCATTTGTCTGAACTTTAGGGCAACCCGCTGTACTGTACTTGGCGAGGCCTCTGGCGCCGGCCTAGTACAGTAGCGCCACTTGGCAATTGTACCACGGAACCCCCTTCTTAAGTGACGGCACGTCCTCGTGCCGACCGGTCGGGTTCCGTATCTCCCCTGCAAGCCGTCCCGACGATCATCCTTGGCACGTCTATTCCGTTATCGGTATCTGCCGCCGCCTTCCCGGCCGACGACCGCTCTGCGTGGACCCTCTCCGTCATGGGCAAGCGCCGGCGCCCCGGGCGAGCAGCTTGGCGGTCTTTCGCTCGGCCATGTGAGCTGGGCGCTAATTTCCATGCGGTTGCGATTCCTGCTTCCTGACACGACTAACCTTATCCCATCCCCACTGACTTCTTGATCGACAAGTCCTAATCACCCTCTCTCACCCCTCTCTCACACGTACAGTACCGATAACGTATCAAAGGACAGGGGAAAACCGGACGGTGCCAGCCACGACAGCGCCGGCAACACGGTCGAGGGCTGAGTCGAGACTGCCTCGCCTTCCCGTGTTGAGATTGCGCCGGATTATTCCCGTGCAGAGACTCCCGTAGCTCGTCCGAACGGTGGGTAGGTTAAGAGCAGCGACGGAAACGCCAGCTGCCCCCAACCCACTGGACAGAACCGAAGGCTCGACGGTAATACAAAGACCTCACTGGAGCCACGTCTCGAGGGCCGACAGGGCTTGGAATCTCTGGGAGATCTCCCGTCCAGTATTCCCGAGTCACGCGCTTGTCCACCGTCTGCAGAGGTCGGGGCGTGCAGTAGCTGCCCCGGAGATGCTCCGCGGACAGATTTCCCAACGGTGACACCGGGGAATAATTATCTTCGACGGTCAAGGGCCTGAGTGGGGCTCGGTTGGTCTCACGCTCCCGG